TAGGACTTTCCCCGACCCCATAGACTCCCAGGTCAGCCTGCAGTGCTGTTTCCACCCTGCTAGGCTCTCCCGCCTGCCATCCCAGCTTCCATCCAGGTACAAATTCCTATATTTCTCCCCTCCCACTGAGGCCATAAAATTTCCCCAGTTCAGCTGCCTTGCACACTGGGCCTGCTCTGTAGGGGCATCCCGGAAAGAGGGAGTGCCTGTGCTTCAATACCCTGCCTGGGGAAAGGTAGGCATTCTATCAGTGAACTCCCTGCCCAACAAGGGAACCTGACCCGATACCAGAAGTTCCAATAGAGAGCATTTGATCGAAGAGATGGGCAGACGCCAAGGCAAGACCTCCTCCAACAATCTGAAAAACAACATGAAAATATCAGATCCCAACGACCCTACAACAGAAGGATTTGAACACTCTAACCCAGATGAAGTGGAAAAAAGTGCCATTATGAAAGCAATAGAGTCCCTTAAACAGGATATGAATAACTCCCTTAAGGAACTGGTCGAGAAGTATAACAAAAAGTTTGAAGAAATGAGTATAGAAATGGATGAGAAATATAATAAAAAGTTTGAAGAAATAAGTAAATCCGTGAGTGATACCCTGAGAAACCAAGAAAAAACAATCAAACAAGTAAAGGAAACAGTCCAAGAATTGAAAACTGAAATGGAGGCAATGAAGAAAACACAAAACGAGAACCGGCTGGATATGGAAAACCTAGGTAAACGAGCGGAGACTACAGAATCAAGCATAACCAATAGAATACAAGAGATAGAAGAACGAATCTCAGATTCTGAAGACACCATAGAGAAAATAAATGCTCTGGTCAAAGAAAACGGCAAATCCAACAAATTCTCAACACAAAACATTCAGGAAATCTGGGAAACAATAAAAAAACCAAATGTAAGAATAATAGGGATTGAAGAAGGAGAAGAATTGCAGATCAAAGGTCCAGAAATTATATTAAAAAAAATTATAGAAGAAAACTTTCCCAACCTAAAGAACGATATTCCTATGAAGGTTCAAGAAGCATACAGAACACCGAATAGATTGGATCAGAAAAAAACATCCCCGCGCCATATAATAATCAAAACACAAAACATAAATATTAAAGAAAAAATTTTAAGAGCTACAAAGGAAAAAGGTCAAGTAACTTATAAAGGTAAACCTATCAGGCTTACACCGGATTTCTCTATGGAAACCATGAAAGCCAGAAGATCCTGGATAGAGGTACTGCAGAAACTAAGAGACCATGGATGCAAACCCAGACTAATATACCCAGCCAAGCTATTGTTCACTATCAACGGAGAAAACAAAATATTCCAGGATAAAAACAAATTTAAACAATACGTAGCTACTAATCCAGCCTTACAGAGAATATTAGAAGGAAAATCACTACCGAAGGAATCCAACATTCCCAACACGACCTACAATAACTCGAACATCTAGCGACCATTCACAAGCACAAATCAAAGAAGAAAAACACATACACTCTACTACCTAAAAAAAAAAAAAAAATGACCGGAGTCAACAACCACTGGTCATTAATATCACTTAATATCAATGGACTCAATTCACCTATAAAGAGGCACAGACTTAGAGATTGGATACGAAAACAGGATCCAACATTCTGTTGTTTACAAGAAACACACCTCAACCACAAAGACAGACACTTACTCAGAGTAAAGGGTTGGGAAAAGGTTTTCCAAGCAAATGGACCTAAGAAACAAGCGGGCGTGGCCATTCTAATATCTAACAAAATCGACTTCAAACTAAAATCAATTAGAAGAAATGGAGATGGACATTTCATACTCATAACTGGAACAATTCATCAGGAGGAAGTCTCAATCCTGAATATCTATGCTCCTAATATAAAGGCACCCACATATGTAAAAGAAACTCTTCTAGAACTCAAGGCGGTCATCAAAC